GCATCTTGCTGGGGGGGGGGCTCACGACTCTCATAGCATGCTGTTTTGTCACGCGCTCGATGCCTGAAGCTATGGGGCTTGCGGGTTTCCCTTTTCGGCCAACCAACAAGCGGGACTCAGGCAAGAGTGTCAGGGATCCCTGAGCGATACCAGGAGGGTTTACCTGGATCGCTTTCAGAAAGATGATTTTCCCAAGGCCTCTGGCAAAGCCGTCTCCCTTCTCCTCGTCTTCTTATTTGTTGTTAATAGTGTAATTTCTTACTCTGTTTTATGAATTGTTTTCTTCCTTTCATTTTTCAGGAAAGCGCCGCGAGCTCTCACGACCAGGCACGGCAGTCGAAGACCAGCTCGTGGAAGACACTTGGGCTGCCCCCTCCGACGATTCCCGCTGCTGGTCAACACAGGCCACAGGCTCCCCTTGCTCGCCGGGCCAGGCTTCAAACCCTGGCGCAGCCTCCCGTTCATAAGCAAAAGCTGTCATACGCATAAGAAGAAACACCCCTGACCAAACTTAACTCCTGGCGTAGGAGAAAATACGCCCAGGAGCCACACATCGAACCCTTGACGGAGAAAAAAGAGACACTTCAGAAGCATAACCTTTCGGAGGTCCGCGCGGATGTCTCGGAGGATCTAACAGGGGATATGTCGACCCCTATCCCAAGCTTCGTGGGGTTTTCGAATGGACCCGCAAAATCGGGGCCCAACCCTGGGATATACGAGGGGGGGCGTCCATACTCGACAGGGGTGCGTCCGAATAGCCCCCTGGGGGTGTATCCCAGGGTTTCCCTCCTTTCTGAGCTGCTCCATTTTTCGTACAAAAGTCGGGGGTTGGGATAGAAACATCGCCTGCGAGGATCGGCGCTGGCCCTCCCCCCCCCCGCTCCTCGGCGCGCGGAGCCCGACGAGGAGTGTGCTTCTCCTGGGCTTGTCCCTCGAGATTTCCGACAGAGCCCTGGGGGGCCCACCCCGCCCGCCCCTCCGGTCCAGGAGAGCCGCGCGGAACCCCGACAGCCGATGCTCATGCGAGTTTGCCTCTTCGACCTCTCCTCCTCCTCCTCCTCCTCCTCCTCCTCCTCCTCCACAGGTCGTGGGGCTCGGGGCCCGCCCCGCCCCCCTGGTGCACGAAAAATCCGAGGGGCCTCCGACAGCGAGTGCTCCTGTAAGTTGCCTCCCTCGGCTTCTGGCGGAGCCTTGCCTGGACGAGCGCTTTTTCCACTAGGGCGACGCAATCTATACATATCCAGCTGTGTATACGCCACGCCCTCCTGGTTTGGCCAGGAGGGCGTATACACAGCTCCTGGGTTCAGGATGGGCCTGGCCAGGGAGCAGTGGATATGTATAGATTTCGTCCCCCGATCCACTACTCGCAGAGTGGCTGCTCGCGAATGGCCAGGATCCGTCGCGGGCATCCACGACCAATGACACTCGACCAGGACAGTAAGCATGCGCGGTGAGGATGCATGGGCCTTGGAACGCCATGTTGACGTTTTCCCTGCGGAGCGCAGCAGCATGCCGAGGGATGCTGAATACCGAAGGAGCAAGGATGCAAGGGTAGCCTTGGAAAGTTGCCCCGTCCTTGCTATCGTCGTTGACTGTACGTCGAGGCACACATGTGTGATTCGGACGTCTGCGAGCAGGCACTCTGCGAGCAGTGGGCCGCGCTCGGTGACCGCTGCTCACCGGTCCCTCCCCCCCCCTCCCCCTGCGAGCTGCCGGCGGGGGGGCTTATTCCCCGCCCGCCGGAGCAGCCGAGACGGGGCGAGGCGATGCATGCTTTACGTCGGGCCTGTCCCCCTACAGGCGAATTTTGGGCGAAAAATTAAAAAAAAATAACCCAAAAATGCCACCAAATAGTCAAACACACATTGAAAAAAACGTCCCCAGACTATTCTTTGACTATTTTGGAGTATTCCACTGTAGAGGGACACGCCCGACTGAAGGCGAGGCGATGCGTGCTGCAGAGCTCCCAGAGGGACCTGCGCGGACTGCCCCCGCAGAGGGCCCGGGAGAGCGCAGGAAGGGCCCGCGGCGGGGGCATGGCCCCTGAGATCCAAGTGGAGGAGGAGGAGGAGGAGGAGGAGGAGGAGGAGGAGGAGGAGGAGGAGGAGGAGGGGGGGGAGGAGGGGGAGGAGGAGGAGGAGGAGGAGGAGAAGGAGGAGGAGGAGGAGGAGGAGGAGGAGGAGGAGGAGGAGGAGGAGGAGGAGGGAGAGGGCGCTGGAATTCATTTTTCACGCCAGGCGCTCTCGCCCAGGCTCGGGCCCGAGGGCCATCGCAGCTCGAGGAGGCTCGCACGACGCCGCAGACAGATGGGGTCTGGGGCTCTGGTCGGGCCTGTCCCCCTACAGGCCGACTTTGGAAGAAAAATCAAAATAGTCAAAACATATTCCAAACTGACCAAAACATATTCACATAATCGTCCCCTCACTATTTTCTAACAATCTTGAAATATTCCCCCTGTGGAGGGACAGGCCCGACTTAACTCTGGTCTTATGTTGCTCCCATCGTACTTAAGGACCACATCCCAGGAATAGTTTCGACCTCCCAGAAAAATGTCGATAGAGTGTCGAAACAGTGTCTCCCAGGGCCCGACACATGAACACCCTCGAGGTTTGGGGTGCGCTCGAAATTCTTTCTAGTGATCAAGGCTAAAGTAGGTTGGAACATCATAACTCTGGTCGTGTTTTCCGCGGCGTTGCAGCTATTTTTTCGCGCCGGCGGATCTCAGGGCCCAGCGGGCGCAGACGCCGCGGAGGCGCAGATGCGCAGCGAGGCCGCCGCCTTCGTCCCGAGGCGCCAGGGGCAGGGGCGAGCGTTTTATTTTCATCAGCGATCCCGCAGGCCTGAAAGATTTAACTGAAACTGGGCCAAGACTGGATGGCTCGCCTGAGACTACGGGGCAGGCCTTGCTGCCGCCGCTGCCTCTCGGGCCAGAATGCGAGCCTGGAGCGTTAGCATTCCTGGCGTCGGTATCAAGCCAGAGGCTGGTGCGGGCAGGCTTACGTCACGGGGCGGGGCTTGCTGAGCAGCAAAGCAGAAAAAACTTCCCCCTCGCCTCGAACTCTCACTCCCCGTGCCGCCGGAGGAGGAGAACGGCAAGCTCGCCATCCGCCGCCCGAGTCTTCGGCAGGCAGCGGCGCGTGCCGCTGGGCTCGCGCAGCTCCGCGAGGCAGAGGGCTCGTGCCTCTCCGGGGTCCGTGCGGGGGCCGGGAGCCCCCGTTTCCCGGGCGCCCTCGGGCGCGGCTGCGCCCTCTCGGGGGTGCGTCGCCGGAGCTCTCGGGGCGCCAGGAGCGCCCCCAAAGACGGGCCGGGAGGACCGCAAGGGTTATGTTGCTCCCATCGTACTTCAGGAGCACATCCCAGAAATAGTTTCGAGCTCCCAGAACAATGTCGAGTGTCGAGAGAGTGTCGAAACAATGTCTGCCAGGGCCCGACATGTGAACCCCCTCGAGTTTTGGGGTGCGCTCGAAATTCTTTCTGGTGATCAAGGCTAAAGTAGGTTGGAACATCATAACGCACGGGGCCCCAAGGACGGCCGAAGAGGGTCTCGAGTCGTCGAACGATCGGCGCAAGACTCCCGAGATGGGGCCCCCCAAGACGCCCCGAGAGGCCTGCCAAGAGGCACAATTGGCGGTCTCGCCTGTTCGGCTTCCCGATGCTCCAGGACGGCCCAAGAGGCTTTCAAGACCGCCCCAAGGGGCCTCCAAGAGGGCCTCATAACGGCCCAGGATGGCTTCAAAACTGCCCAAAAGCTCTCCAAGACGGCCCAAGCGCTCCACAGACGGCTCCAAGAGGGGCCCAGACGGGGGACCCGAATGGACATGTCGAGCACTCGGCCCCAAGAGGCTCTCAAGAGGCCCCAAGAGGCCCCCACGAGGCCCCCACGAGGCCCCAAGAGGCAGGCCCCAAGAGGTCCCCAAGAGGCCCCAAAGAGGCCCAGAAATAGCCCCCCAGAGGCCTCAAAACTGCCTCCAGGCCCCCGAGAGGCCTCGACGAGGTCCCCACGATCATCGACGAGACCTCAGACCCACCACAACCCAGGCACGGTGGCTGGATGGGCCGAAGGCCATTCGATGTAAGAGAGCGCCTCATATCTTTCGCGATAGCGGCCGTTGCCAGCCCCGGACGCCCCCCCCCAGGTGACGTCACGATTCGTGCCGCCCTCCGAGCCGGCTTTGGCTATTCCTCAACATTGAAGGGAAACTGGGACACACAAATAAATACACACAAATAAAAAGATTCCCCATATTTTCCTATATTTTCTGGGTTTCTGTCTTCCCCCCCACTTCCCATATTTTCCCATATTTTCTGGGGAATCGACGATTAATTGTGTCTGTGTTTTTTTTCCCTCCTGACTCAACATTCCCAGACTGTGCCGGCGCGAAACGTGACGTCACTGGCCCCCGCCCCCCTTTCCCCCCTCCTCACGCCCTACCCCCCTGTAGCGCTCGGTATCGCCAAGGAAACAAACACGCTCGCTAACCAGGGTCAAGATGAGCAACTGCACCGCGATGGCGGTGAGACGAGTCGACCATGGTACCGTGGCCCGTCTTCGAACGGGACGAGGCCGAGCGAACGATGGAAGTAAGCTGGCTGACGGCATCATGACAACCTGGCACTCCCCATACCAACGCTCAAGCCAACCAGGCCGACAGCCCCTGCCAGCGCACCCTTCCGTCGTGTTCCCATGGCAGAACTCCCTGTACTAAGCCTCCCCCCGATCGTGGAATCGGATTCGAGCGAGTCGAACCCCTGCCGTCATGCAACGGTGCCGCGCCGAGATCAGCAAAGAGGCAAGGCGCGAGGACGCGCGGGCCGCCTGCCAGCGCAGGAAGGCCAAGTTCACGCGCGAGCCGTGGTCCAAGCGGTCGAACTCCTGGCTGGGATTTCTGGGATCCGTCCCCTCACTGTCAGTCGGCGGCGCGCCCAGGGGGGAATAGAGAACTAAACGATGACACAATCACAACAACTCGGAGGTCCGCGCGGATTCCTCGGATCTGCGCTGGGCCCCCTGGCGGCGCCCCCCCTGGCGCGCTCCGCGCGCCAAGGAGGGCGGTCCAGCGTCGATCCGAGAAATCCGCGCGGACCTGCGAATTCCGGGGGCGCGCAAACACGGATTAGCGATCCATGGATTTGGCGCGCGGTCGCCAAATCCATGGATCGGGGGAGATGCCCTCCCCAAAATGTGAAATGTGGCCGGTGCCGCCTCGTTCGGCGGCGGACATCCGCGATTTCCAATGGAAACGGGACCCGTCGCTAATCCACGCCCCCTTGATCCATGTTTGCGATCGCCTGATTCTGTTATGTTCGTGCCATTGCTGTCCCCCCCCCCCCCGCGAGAGGGGGCGTGCCTTCTCAGCGGGCGGCGGGGCTTCTCGGCAGCCCCCCCTGGGGAAACCAACAAGCACTCATATACCGCCACTCCCCGGGCCCCTCTCCCGGGTGTGCGTCCTGACCAGGATCTCGAGGCGAGTCCGTCCAGCGGTGGCGACGAGGGCCTCCGACCCCCAAAGAGGGGTTCACGAGGGAAGGGCAGCGGCATCGGTACCTCTCCCTGGAAGTCCCGACCCTTTTCCCAGGACTGGTTTTGCATCCCGAGTCGTTTTTTGACGGCCCCGAGGCCTGGCGAGGGCCTCCCGAGGCCGAAAATAGCGAAAAACCTCTCGTCCTGATTTTTGCATGACGCGATCACGTCTGGGCTCCTACTCTGGCCCCCGTGCGCCCTCTGAGAAGCCGCCCGCGGCCCTGAAGGTGCCGTCGGACGGAGCTGTCGAGCCCTGGCCTTCGTAGAACAATAAAACACGCCGTAAACAGAAAGTTTTGGCGCCCCGCGGGGATCTCTCGGATCTGCGCTCTGGACCCCCCTCCCCGGCGTGCGGCGAGCGCCAGGGGCGGCGCTGGAGGCGCCGCCAGGGGGGCCCAGCGCAGATCCGAAAAATCAGCGCGGAGCGCCGAAAGTTCTTGTTTACGGCGATCTTTCCTCTTCAAAGGAGCAGGAGGAGGAGGAGGAGGAGGAGGAGGAGGAGGAGGAGAAGGAGGAAGGAAGGAGGAGGAAGGAGGAAGGAGGAGGAAGGAGGAGGAGGAAGAGGAGGAGGAGGAGGAGAAGGAGGAGGCGGAGCAGGAGGAGGAGGGAGGAAGGAGGAGGAAGTAGAAGGAGGAGAGGAGGAGGAGAGGAGGAGGAGAGGAGGAGGGAGAAGAGGAAGGAAGGAAGGAAGGAGGAGGAAAGGAGGAGGAAGGAGGAGGAGGAGGAGGAGGAGGAGAGGAATGAAGGAGGAGGAAGGAGGAGGAAGGAGGAGGAAGGAGGAGGAGGAGGAGGAGAAGGAGGAGGAAGGAAGGAGGAGGAAGGAGGAGAAAGGAGGAGGAAGGAGGGGGAGGAGGAGGAGGAGGAGGAGGAGGAGGAGGAGGAGGAGGAGGAGGAAGAGGAGGAGAAACCCCCTTCTGGCGTCGAGAAAGTGCCACGCCTGCCGCGCTCTCCGACCCTGGCACGCATAGAGGCCGCGCTGAGAGACCACCCACTGCGCACCGCCTTCTGGCGTCGAGAAAGTGCCACGCCTGCCGCGCTCTCCGACCCTGGCACGCATAGAGGCCGCGCTGAGAGACCACCCCCTGCGCACCCCCTCTGGTGCCGAGAAAGTGCCACGCCTGCCGCGCTCTCTGACCCTGGCATGCATGGAGGCCGCGCTGAGAGACCACCCACTGCGCACCCCCTCTGGTGCTGAGAAAGTGCCACGCCTGCCACGCGCTCCGACCCTGGCACGCATAGAGGCCGCGCTGAGAGACCACCCCCTGCGCACCCCCTCTGGTGTCGAGAAAGTGCCACGCCTGCCACGCCCTCCGACCCTGGCACGCATAGAGGCCGCGCTGAGAGACCACCCCCTGCGCACCCCCTCTGGTGCCGAGAAAGTGCCACGCCTGCCACGCTCTCCGACCCTTGCATGCATAGAGGGCCGCGCTGAGAGACCACCCCCCGCGCACCCCCTCTGGTGTCGAGAAAGTGCCACGCCTGCCAAGCTTCCCAATCCTGGCACGCATAGAGGCCGCGCTGAGAGACCACCCCCTGCGCACCCCCTCTGTGGCCCTGGCACGCATAGAGGCCGCGCTGAGAGACCACCCCCTGCGCACCCCCTCTGGTGTCGAGAAAGTGCCACGCCTGCCACGCTCTCCGACCCTGGCACGCATAGAGGCCGCGCTGAGAGACCCCCCCCTGCGCACAAAGAGCCACGCCTGCCACGCTCTCCGGCCCTGGCACGCAGAGAGGCCGCGCTGAGAGACCACCCCCTGCGCATCCCCTCTGGTGTCGAGAAAATACCACGCCTGCCGCGCTCTCCGACCCTGGCACGCATAGAGGCCGCGCTGAGAGACCACCCCCTGCGCACCCGTTCTGTTGTCGAGCAAATGCCACGCCTGCCACGCACTGCGAATCCTACACGCACGCCTTGTATATGGCATGTCATGTGCATGTGGATGATGCGTGTGCGGCCGTATTGGGACGTGTGCCTCGTGTGTGTGCCCAGTGTGTAGCGCGTACGTCGTGGGTGTACGGTGCAGTGGCCACGACAGGCGTGCACTAGCGTTGTATGGTGTGTGGGTGTGTGCGTGTGTGTACATGCGTGCGGCTCTAAGTAGACGCGTGTCTCTTGTACGTGCCGTGCATGTGTTGAGCGCGGGTGAGGAGAGGAAGAGGAGGAAGGGAAGAGGGAGGTGAGGGAGTGAGCTTCGCGGGTGGGGCGCGGGAGGGAAGAACACCAGAACCCCACGAAACATGCTGGGAAAGCACGTAGGACTGATCTCCTCGCGCATCTGCGGGTCGATCTCCAATTCTCGTGGAAGCACGTTTTTCAGGTACTCCTGGCACCCGGCGCCGAAGTGCACGAACGACATCATTCCATCGCAATCGTGGCTGCTGCCCGCATGAACTGAGACCACGACTGGCTGTATCCACAGCACGCACACCCACCAACATGTATGTACTCGCTACAAAGCAATGTGTGATAGGTTCTGCCAATCGCCAACTCCATCCTCGCCCCCATTCCGCGCGCCGCTGCACTATGTCCCCGCTCCCAGGCGCTAATCCACAGCAACGATTCACGCTGGCTGCCTATTGACGTTGGGCGCCAAAGCGGTATGCCAGTTGGATCGACACTCGATGTTAACACAGAAACGATGGCAGTCCTATTTTTCCGTGGCTTTCGACGCTGCGCCCGGTGGCAAACAATACTTGGCGAACATAAAGCAACGGATTATGACAACTGGCGCCACAAAGAGGCGAGGGTTGATTGCTCGCGACATTCGCTGTGGAAAGGTGGCGTTCATGCCATGGTTAGGGCCTCGTTGTCTGTTCGAGAATATACGGGTGGAGCTGCGGAAAACTAGGAGACAGACTCCACAAACGATATTCTCTCATTCCGTGTGTGAGGAATCGAGTGCTACGAATCGAGGCACATCTGGACGCCAAGCGCCGCCGACTGCTTCGATGGATCTCAGCGTTGAACGCTGGGCTGCGACATCGGACGGATTTAGGGACCCCCCGTCGTTGGTGGATCGCCTCCAAGATGGCCCCAAGCAAGCGAGCCCCTAGAGTGCCACAAGAGACACCCAAGAGGGTTCCCTCCTCACCCTAGAGGGTTCCTTCCTCACCCCAGCAGGTTCGTTCGTCACCCTAGAAGGTTGAAGGGGCCCCAGGACACACAAATAAATACACACAAATAAAAAGATTCCCCATACTTTCCAATGTTTCCGGGGTTTCGTCTACCCCCCACTTCCCGCATGTTCCCACATTTTCTGGGGAGTCGACGATTAATTGTGTCTGTGTGTTTTTTTCCCTCCTGGAAGGTTCCTTCCCCACCCCAGGCTTCTTTCTCGGCCTCCGGCCGAGGGCGTCAAGGCGTCGTGAAGCCTGTCGCCATCATCCGCAAAAGACACGCCCAAAGAGGACCCCAAGAGCCCCCAAGAGGCCCCCCAGAAGCGCCCAGGACGCCCAGAGAGGCTCTGCGAACCGCCAAGACGCCACCAGGGCGTCCCAAGAGGACTCCCAGAGGTACCCCGAAGCGCCCCGAGAGGCCCCGAAAGGCCGCAAAGCCGCCAGGAGGCTCTCCCAGGAAGCCCCAAGAGGCCTCCAGGAGACCCCGAGAGACGGACGGGGCCCAGGAACACACGAATAAATATACACACAAATCCCAAGATTCCCAATCTTTTCTCATACTTTGTTTATCTTCGTCTTCCCCCTCACCTCCCATATTGTCCCATATTTTTTCTTGGAAGTCAGCGTGTGATTGTGTTTGTGTGTGTTTTCCCTCCTGAGAGACACCCCAAGAGACTCCCAGAGGTATCCAAGAAGCCTCTTCCCACGGAGGCTCCCCGAGCTCTCCACATGATGCCGCGCTCCCCCCGATAAGGGAAATTCCCCTGGGCATCGCTCCTGGATGGGCTGGCTGGTGGGGATATGCGAAGCACTGCGCGAGAGTTGAACGTCTCTTCTTGGCAAATGGCTTGCGCAGGCTCGGCTTTTCAGTCTTGCGATCGGTTTCCCAAACCCCAAATGAGGCCCTCAAGAGGCCCCTCATGATGGACCCAAGAGGAGAAACCCGAATCTATAGTTTGAGCCCCTGGGGATGGCCTCCGAGATCGCCAGCAGGCCCCCAAGAGGCTCCGTGATCCCTCCAGAAGGCCTCTCCGAGTCGGACCTGCACCGCCAGCCCCGGGCAACCTGTGCTGCGCGGCAGCGGAGAAGGAGCAAGACGGAAACAAGACGTGAGCAGCAAGGAGAAAAAGGAGGCAGCAAGGAAGCAGCACGAGAGCAGAAGAGGGGAGAAGGCGAAGGAGAGCAGGAAACGAAACGAGAAGGGACGGCAATAAGGAAACAACAAGTTACATAAACATAAAAACTCGGAAGTCCGAGTTGTTATGTTTATGTCACTTGTTGTCCCCCTAGGCAAGGATCACAAGGAAGCCAGCGGAAACGACGACGAGAAGCAGGCACACGACGACGACGAGCGCGCAAGAGCGGGAGGCCAGGGCGGGGCGGGAGGGGCGGGCAGGCAGCAGGGCACCGGAGACAGCAGGTGGGGAACGGGAGGAGGAAGAGGGACGGGATAGACACAAGGAGGGAGCAGGGAAGCAGGGAGCAGGAAGTAGAGGCAGGGGAGGGAGCAGGAAGTAGAGGCAGGGGAACAGGAAGTAGAGGCAGGGGAGCAGGACATATAAGGAGGAAGCAGGGGAGCAGGGAGCAGGAAGTAGAGGCAGCAAGCAGGAAGCAAGGAGCATGAAGAGGCAGAGAAACTCAACCGCAAGCAAGCGGGTCAGGCCAGGGGGCGGAAGAGACACGGTGGCGGGTTGGACCTGAGGCCGAACAGCCAGAGCACAAATATGATGACAACCGCAAACACGAGAAACGGTGCCCGTAAGATTTAGACGGACACACATGCAAACTTCTCAATGACAGGCGCAACCCGCAAGCATGCGTAACACTATCAAGCAAACGACTCGTGATAGACCAGGATGAAGAGCAGTCGGCCACTTTTCAAGCAGCGCCTTTTATTTACAAGGTGCACAGTGCACACGACTGCGACCCATGCAGTCACACGATTCTGACAATGCATCGCAGTCTACGGCGGCCGCGCATAAAATAAGCAATATGAAAGCAACATATCAAACAATGTGTGTTGGGTGCCGAAGCTTTGGAGTCTGCATGCGAGGATGAAGAGATATAGCCAAGCTTCTGACTCTCAGACACTTCAACGTGTGATTGCAACGGGGTCTTGCCGCACAGCAGCGGCGCACAATTGCTCGGACTAGCCGCAAGTGGCCGATTGTATCGCCGTTGTTGACATTGAGGCTGAAGTACGAAGTTCCATCTCCATGTTCGAGAACCAACGCCGACCAATTCTTAACCGATGCAACGAGGCACCAATCAACCGATCAAACAACAAATGCGCAATTTAGATGCAGCACAGTATGCGCCACTGCACCTGCGCGACAATGAGGTATTGAAATGCTTGCCGGCTGTCTGGTCAGATTCCTGAAACTCCTCCTCGGGGGCGACCCTCCCGAGGGGCCCCTGAAACAGGGCACTGCTGACCAGGACGCTCCCAAACCAGGAGCCTCTCGAAAAATCCGCCCGCGGAGAACGAAGTTGTGAGCGTTCTGTATTCGGCGCTTCGACATTGGGCGGAAGGGGGGGAAAGGGGGGGGGGAGGTTCTGGCTCGGGACCTCTGCTTAGTGCGGCTGTTCCTCCTCCTCCTCCTCCTCCTCCTCCTCCTCCTCCTCCTCCTTAGGAGGAGGAGGAGGAGGAGGAGGAGAAGGGGGAGGGACCCCGCCTGCTCGAAACAGGCGCCAGAACAGCCAAGATCTACTCCACGAGGGGGGGGAAGGGAAAGGTGCGAGGGCCCGCGCCGATCGGCAAAACGATTGATAGAATAGCATTCACAATACGGAGAATGTCTCGACCCACGGATGCAATCTTCTCGATCGTGCCACTGTCCTGGATTATCAACGTCGCCGTTTCGGGGGCCCTGCCCCGCACTGGCACGCCGCGTCCAGAACACCGCCGTTCCGAAACCTGCGCTCCAGTCTGTGTTTGTTGCCGGCCTCTGGACGGCCCCAAGGCCGCTGCACAGCGGCTGCAACATGCCCGAAGACCAGCCAAAGAAGGCCCAGCGGCCCTCCCCCAAGCTCCAGTGTCCTCCCAGCTGATCTCACGGCGCCCCCCAAAACCTCCCTAGAGGCGTCCAAGAAGGCCTGACTCGAGATCCTGGGAAACAGAACACAAGGATTACGGCTAAGCCGGCCGGACGACGCCCAAACGGCCCTCGGCAGGTTCCGCAAAGGCATTTGAAAAGGCCCCAGAAGGGTCCCAAATCAGATCCTCCAGAGCATCAAAGACGCCTTCAAAAGTGAGGAGGGAAGATTCAGGAACATTATGAGCAGGATACGCGATGAGGTGAAGATTGGGGCTGAGTTCAAGGATGGGGCGTTGAACCCCGCGCCAACTCAGACGGGACGCAGAACCGAAGCGGGACTTCACTCCTCCTCCCCGCTGCTCTGCTGACGAGTAGAGTGTCCCGCGGGCAACCAGACAGGAGTGATGGACGGGGTACGGCAGGTTTGTGTCGTGACGACCCCGGCGTTTGTTCCTGACACCGCGTGGATCGTTCAACCTTAAACGATCGGCGGCTTTCCGATCGCCCGATCGTTCCATATAGGCCGATTCTGGGCCACTGGCGGCGTTCAACCTTAAACGCCCGCGGCGGGGTCGCCGCCGGTCGACACGACGCGAACCTGCCGTACGTGGGTGGCGTGGGCGTGCGTCGGAGCAATTCTGGAGGGCTGTAGCGGACGCTCCGATGCGTGAGAGCGAACAATCGGTCTGGAAGCATATAGTTTTTCACGCGTTTTGGAACTCGCTGGATCCCAAATCCCATGGGCACGAGGTCTAGGTCGGGCATGTCCCCCTACAGGCGCATTGTGTGCAAAGACTTAAAACTTAGTCAAAACATACTCCCAAATAGCCAAAGATAGTAGAAAAATCGTCGCCAGACTAATTTTTGACTATTTTTGAAGGTTCCTCCTGCAGGGGGACACGCCCGACTTAACACCAGGTGAGGGCTCCAGAATCTTCCGAATTCTCCCTCGGCGGCGATGTATCGAGCACGAAGGCTCCGAGGGGCGGTTTCTCTCTGTAATGGCCTAGTCCACCTGGCGGGGAGGGCGGTCCACCCACGGGAAGGCCATTCACCCGTAAGACGAGAGGGCTGCCCACGAAAGGGAGATCCACCCTGGCCCTCCCCGGGACCTCTGATCCAGACATACATGTCGCCCGTTAGCGCACGTACACACTCCCATGCTTGCAACAAGATTGGTTTGCCTTATGATTAGGTCGGGCCTGTCCCCCTACAGGCGGATTTTAGGCGAAAAATTAAGAATCCTCAAGAGTACACCCAAATAGCAAACAAAACCCAACAATCGTCCCCAGACTATTTTTTACCTATTCTTGAATATTCCTCCTGTAGAGGGACAGGCTCGCCTTAACCTTAAGACTGACCAACGGTCCAGTCCACGCTGCGCGTTCTCCAGTGATGGTGGGGCAATGAGCCAAAGATGGATCTCGAGTGAACGGCAAGTCGGCCAGCGCGCTCAGCTGCGAAACGCACCTGGGCGCTTTCAAACAATATGATGTGAGACTGGGGAGCTGGCTCAGAAAACACCACGTACTGATGGGCAAGATCAGAGAACGAATGTCTACACATTGTGCTGTCCAACGGGTCTTGCCAATAGCAAACAATCCCGTTCGTCGCAAGATCTGACTGCCTGCGCAACTTTATAACCGGACATACTTATTGGCTAAACGTCTGATCTCAATTGCATACGCTCGGTGTTGGCTCAAGCATTTATCCAGCAAGGCGCCGCAGGATGCTAATGCTCTAGAGCGGATCTCGCAAGGACAATGGGTGATAGGCTCCAGGATGGCCCCGCGATCGCCCAAGGTTGCCCGGCATGGTCGAAGACAGCCTCCAAGGAAACCAGGGAGCTCCTAAGAAGCCCACACGAAGCCCCAAGAAGCCTCCCAGAGACCCCCGAGAGTCCTCCAGATGCTCCGCCTCTTGCTCCCAGGAGCCCCCCACGGCGCCAACACCACACAAAAACCCCAGAAGCCTCCCAGAGACTCCCGAGAGTCTCCCAGATGCTCCACCTTGTTGCTCCCAGGAGCCCCCCACGGCCCCAACGCCACACAAAGCCCCCAGAAGCCTTTAAGAGACCCCCGAAAGCCTCCCAAATGCTCCGCCCTGTTGCTCCAAGGAGCCCCCCCACGGCCCCAACGCGATACCGGCATGCCCACGACTCCCACGGTGGTGGCTGCCACAACTTGAGCAGAGACCGACCGTCCCTGCATTCCTATAGGCCTACCACAACATGTTCATAGAACCCAGACATGTTCTCAACGCAAAAACAAGGTTCTTAGAACATATTCCCGATGTGCTAAAACAAGACTGTCCCAGCCAGAAAGGTTCTAATAACATTTCGTGGAAGCCACAACAGGCTCTTAGAGCATTCTTTGGTAGGCCCACGTGTAGGCACGCCAAGGCGCTTCGCCACTGCTTGACTCACGGCGGTGGCTGCCACAACTTTGGACGCCAGAGACGGGTACGGAAAAAATGGGTACAATGCCCAACAACAAATGTTGTCCCACACCGACGGCGGCCGCTGTTAGGCAGGCGGCCTTCAGTCTCAAATGGACACAGGCCGCGGCAGCGCGGACAGCGAGTCCGGTTCAGAATGGACAGTGACTGCTGTTGGGCATTGTACCCCTTCTTTCTGTACCCATTTCGCTCGTGCTGAACTGAAGGGGAACTGGGACACACAAATAAATACACAAATAAACAGATTCCCCATATTTCCCCATATTTTCTGGGTGTTTGTCTTCCCCCCCACTTGTCATATTTTCCAATATTTTCTGGGAATCGCCGATTGATTGTGTCTGTGTGTTTTTTCCCCTCCTGAAGAACAACCTGCCGGAGCTTCGAGGCGAAGGGCCGCCCGGGCAGGCCGAGGACGCGCGGGACAATCAGAGGCGACGCCCTCCTCCGCCCCCCCGTGCCCCCTGACTGCACGGCCCTTCGGCCAGGCGTGCCTCTCGCGGTCCTTGCCCGCTCGAGCCTTCGGGCTTCGATGGTGTGGCTCGGCTGCGCGCAGGAGCGCCCCCTCCCTACACAGTCAACTTTTCCTGAGTCGGCGTTTCGACCTTGGCCGGAAGGGGTGTGGGGGGGGGGGGGGGGGGGGGAAAGGAGGGGGGGGAGGGTTCTGGCTCCGGACCTCTGCTCAGTGCGACTGTCTGCAGCAATGCGTCCATGATGGGGGAGGGACCCCACCTGCTTGAAGACAGGGTCCCAAAGCAGCTGGGATCCGCTCCGACCCCCCCCTTCCGCCCCATGCCGAAACGGCGGGGGGGGGGGAGACTCCCAACGGCGCCAAAAGAGGTTCGAAAACCTCCCCTCCTCCTATTGAGGGGGGGGGGCCAGGGCCCGCGCCGATCGGCAAGAGAATGAGCAACAAACACGACCACCTGGGGCAAGCGGGACCTCCAGTGCGCGGCCTGCCGACTGCCGCGTGCTGCGAGGCAGCGATCGGGGGGGGGGGACTGGCACATAGGGTTAAGTCGGGCGTGTCCCCCTTACGGGGGGATCTTCGACGAAAAATAAAAGAATCGTCGAAGAATGTTCCAGAAATGCCCAAAAACAAATATTCAAAAAATAGTCCCCAGACTATTTTTGGACTATTTCCGAGTATTCCTCTTGTAGAGGGACAGGCCCGACTTAAACAGGCCCTCTCCTCCTCCCTCCTGCTCCTCCCCCTCCCCCTCCTCCTCCTCCTCCTCCTCCTCCTCCTCCTCCTCCTCCGCCTCCATCCTCCTCCTCCTCCTCCTCCTCCTCTTCCTCCTGCTCCTCCTCCTCCTATCGGCGATGGGCCCCCGATAGGGAATCCGCACCTTCCGGGGCCAGGGCTGGGGCTATCGGACCCCCACCGGCCGACCCGTGGGCGATTTTGGGGGTCGCTGCAGGCCGATTGTTGGACACTGGACAACAAAATCACAATGGTGAAACAGATGCTCCCAAATGATCAAAAAAAAATAGTGGGGAAATCGTCCCCTGTACTACTCTTGTGAACCGTGTTTGCACATCCCTCCTGTAGAGGGGCGCGCCCGACTTAGTCCCCTGCCCGACCCCCCCCCCCATAGCGTTGCCCCTGACGTGTGCTGCGGCAGTGGCGGCCTGCGCGCCCGGGGCTGGCCCCCCCCGCGCCGCCGCCGGGCCGCGCAGCAAGGAGGTCCCCCCGGCGGATGGCCACTGCCGTGTGGAGCCGAGAGATGCAATGAGGTCGGGGCCTTGACCTAAGGAGCCCAACATAAGAAACGAGGCCCCTTTTTTCCATAAGTTAAACTTCGATTTTCGATCGAAAACATAAGGGAAACCTGAGGCAAGCTGCGAGACACTGAAGGAACGCGGAGCCCCTCCCCAACGAAAAGGGATCCTTCTTCAGGGCCCCGACTGTAGGTCGGGCCTGTCCCCCTACAGGTGGACTTTGGGCGACAGATATAGCAAAACACAGTCAACACATGCCCAACAGAGTCAAAACATGCTACAGAACTCGTCCGCTGGCAAGTTTTCCCCTATTTTCGAATATTTCTCCTGTAGAGGGACAGGCCCGACTTAATGATACAGTCGGGGCATTGGCCTAAGGAGCCGCAAATAAGGAGCGAGGCCCCTTTATAGAGCTCAGAAAGTGACTTTCTGAAAGTCCACCCCCGTAAGAATCACCCCGACAAGCGAAGCCGTTAAGTAAACGCACCCATGGACGGAATCGAACAGGGCAGAACTGTTTAGTAAACGCCCAAGGCCGTTTAGTAAACTCATCCACAAGCTGAGCTTCGGCTCCCCGCCAGAAGCCCAAGGAAAGCCTTAGGCAAGCTGCGAAACGATTAAGGAGCACCGAGCCCCTCCCCAACGAACAGGGCTCCTTCTTCAGCGCCCCGACTGTACTTGGGTAAGGCCTCGGCCAGGACTCCGAGCGGGCGATTACTGGTCGGCTGCGGGGGCTGAGCCTTCGTCGCTTCGCTCTTACGAGGATCTCCCTTCCTGGCTTCACGCTCCCATCCACAGCCCTTCTCAAACAACTGTTTTCTGGAGCTTCGCAAGAACACCAGATCTGCGCAGCCTTCTGGGGACCACACCTTCTCAGCACAGCGATGGTGCAACATTGGCTGGCGGAGTGCGCGAAGCGATCCGCCGCCCGACCGGAGAACGGCGCGAGATCCCCGCCGTACCGTTCTGCCAGAAACGTCCTTCTTCAATCCTCATTCGCACACTCCTCGCCTTCACCTCTTCCCCAGAACCCCAGCGACCCCTCCTGGGGTCATCCCCGCGGCCCGCGCATTCCGTCGGCCCTCGTGTCCTGGCTGCGGACTGGGCGCCTACTGGCCACCACTTTGCCCCCAAAGCCAGCCTGCCTTTGCGCGCAAGACTTCTGGACGCGGCTGGGCTCCGTCTGAGACCTCTCCAGGAGCCCTCTCGGGCTGTCTTGGGGGCCTCTTGGGGTGACGTTGACTGTTGTTTGGGCCCTTCGGGGCCGTCCCGGGACCCCTCTGAAGCCCTGTTGGAGTTCCGCTGAACTGAAAACCAGAAGAGACAAAAACGTGAACGGCCAACGGATGTTTGCGATTGTGGCCGATCTTTGCGCTTCGTGGATCCTCTCTTGGAACCTTTTCGGGGCACTCTTGGGGCATCTCTGACCACCTTGAGAAGTGGTGGGGGCCTCTTGGCCTATCTTGAAAGATTTTTGGCGCTATCTTGGGCCGCCTGGGTGCGCCTTCTTGGACGCTCCCACAGAAGAGCCACCACGTATTGCCAATACTGCGTTTTTCCTCGGCTCCTTTTTTTTTGGTTTGCCTTTTGTCCATCACTTGCGACCTTTGTGTGTGTGCCGTTTCGGTGTGTTTTCGGAGCCGTTTGGGGCATTCCTGGTCCGTTATCGGGGGTTGTTGGGGCCTTATGAAGCCGTCCGGGACTCCTTTTCACGCCCTCCGCCACGTATGTTTCCTTAGGTCGGGCCTGTCCCCCATATAAGGTGATTTAAGATGTAAAATCAAAAATGCGCAAACAATGCCCCAAAACCATCAAGTGATGCTGGGTCTTCGTTTTGAAAAGACGGCGCCCCGCGTTCCTCTCCTCTTCCCTCCTCCCTGCGTTTCACCCACCCAGTGCAGCGTTTCGCGGCCCCATAGGGAGCTCCACCGACGGCCCCAGTGGCAGGGTTCGCACGGCGGCCTCGGGTCACTTCGGCACACCCCTCGCAAAGCTCGTGGCCCCATAGGGAGCTCCACCGAAGGCTCCGGAGGCAGGGCTCGCATGGCGGCCTCGGGGCATTTCGGCACACACCTCACAAGGATCGTGGCCCCGTAGGGAGCTCCACCGAAGGCCCCTGGCGGCAAGGTTCGCGAGGCGGCCCCGGGCCACTTCGGCATACCCCTCGCGGGAATCGTAGCCCCGTCAGAGTTCCAGCGAAGGCGCCAGTGGCAACGTTCGCGTGGCGGCCTCGGGGCATTTCGGCACGCGCCTAACGAGGATCGTGGCCCCGTAGGGAGCTCCGCCGAAGGCCCCCGGTGGCAGGGTTCGCATGGCGGCCCCGGGCCATGTCGAAACACCCCTCGCGAGGATAGTGGCCCCGGAGGGAGCTCCACTGAGGGCCCCCAGTGGCAGGGTTCGCATGGCGGCCCCTGACCATTTCGGCACACCCCATCACGTGGATCGTGGCCCCATCGGGCGGGCCATTTCGGCACGCCCCTCACGAGGATCGTGGCCCCATAGGGGGCTCCGCCGAAGGCCCCAGTGGCAAGGTTCGCGCGGCGGCATAGGGAGCTTCGCCGAAGGCGCCAGCGGCAGGGTTCGCATGGCCGCCTCGGGCCATTTCGGCACACCCCTGGCGAAGATCGTGGCCCCGTAGGGAGTTCCAGCGAAGGCGCCGGTGGCAAGGTTCGCATAGCGGCCTCGGGGCATTTTGGCACTCCCCTCACGAGGATCGTGGCCCCGCAGGAGCTCCACCGAGGGCCCCCAGTGGCAAGGTTCGCATGGCGGCCCCTGGCCATTTCGGCACACCCCTCACGAGGATCGTGGCCCCACTGTTGTGCTGCTTCAACAACTGCGCCTGGGCGTCGTACTCCGCCTTGTCGACGTGCAACGCCACTTCCTCCCTTATGGCTCTGGAAGCCCTCTCCTGCTTCTGCTCTTCGGTCGGAAGGACGCCGTCCTTATCGTCGTCGGCGCCCGCGAAGACGGCCACGAACGTGTTCCTGAGCATGTCGGGCTCCAGCGGGAAGCCGTGGCCACGTAGGGAACGCGGGCGAAGATGGTATTCACAATTGCGGCATTCGCAACTGCATATGGCTGGGTCCTTCGCGAGGCTAATTGTCATAACTATTGTTGAATGTTCCTCCTGTAGAAGGACGGGCCCGACTGAAATGTAGCCCCGCCCTTCCTCCACCAGGCCTCCCCGGGTCAGCTCGCGGGCCCCGCACCTCTCAAGTTCTTGGTGGCCACACGTGAAAACTACCCCCCGGCCACCCGCGATTTCTACGGGGGGGCGGAGGTTCATCTCGCTTTCGGGAGGTCCCGAGCGGCGAGACCCCTCCCATCCCCCACCACCCACGATTTCTGAGTGGTGGTGGGGGTCCATTTCGTTCGGGAAGTCCCGAACGGAGTGACCCCCCCCCACCCCCGGCTGCATTTTGCAGGGTTATGTGGGGCATGTCCCTCCACAGGCCGATTTTGGGTGAAAAACCAAACATAATCAATGCATATTCCAAAAAGGTACAAAATAGTCGACATATCGTCCCCGTACGGTGTTTTTTCCCTACCTAGGCTCTGCCTGGAAGGGTTCTTACCCTCTTGGCTTAAAGGGGCCGGGCAGTGGAAAACGCCCCGGGCGGTTCTCCCAGGATCCGCCCCGCGGTTCCCCCAGCTACGTCCCCTTAGCTTAGCGTTGCTTATCTCATCTTAGCCTAGCCTAGCCTAGCTTAGCTTAGCTGAGCCGAGTTTAGCTCAGCGCAGCATAGCATAGCATAGCTTAGCTGGGCCTAGCCTAGCCTAGTCTAGCTTAGCTTAGCCCAGCTGAGCTAAGCGCAGCATTAGCAGAGCACAGCATAGAATAGCACATCATAACACATCATAGCGCAGCATATCATAACGCAGCATAGCAAAAGAAATCATAGCACATCACAGCGCAGCATAGCATAGCGAAGCATAGCACAACGCAGCATAGCATAACATAGCATAGCATAGCGCAGCATAGCATATCACAGCATAGCACAGCGCAGCATACCATAGCATACCATAGCATAACATAGCGCAGCATAGCAGAGCATAGCATAGCATAGCGCAGAACAGTATATCATATCATATCCTAGCCTAGCCTAGCATAGCATAACGCAGCATAGCATAGCATCGCATTGCGCAGC